TCCCTTCAGCCTCCTCCACTTCTGAGGAGGAGGAGGAGGAGAAGAAGCGGTCGGAGCCGCTGCCTGTTTGTGAGGGAGAGTACGCGCGCGAGCGCGAGCGCGCCACAGATACACAGAGAGAGAAAGACCGAGTTCTGAGGCCCCTCGTGCGCGCGCCCAGGCGGCCTCGTGCGCGCGCCCTCCCTCCTCCGCCAGGCCAGGCCAGGCCCGAGCCGAGCCAAGCGAAAGGGAGGCCGGTGGCGGAGGGATCTAGGCGTGCGGGTGCTGCGGCTGGGCCGGGTGAATGGGATTGAAGAAGAGTTCAGCTTCTTCTCCTCCTCCTCCTCCTCCTCTTCTTCTTCTTCTTCTTCTCAGCTTGTTTTTGTGTCACAGTTTCTCCTCTCCTCTTTGGCCTCCTTCTTTTCTTCCCTTCTTCTTCCCCGTCGCCGCAGCAGCAGGAGGAGGAGGAGGAGGAGGAAGACCTCAGGGAGAAGGGGAGGAAAAGGACCCCCCTCAGAGGAGGAGGAGGAGGAGGAGGAGGAGGAGGAGGGAGCAACCAACCAACCATCTTCCACTCCCAGCTTAGATTAAAGAAAGTGAGAGGAGGAGGAGGAGGAGGAGGAGGAGGAGGAAAGAAGAGGAGCCCAGGAGAAGGAGGAGAAGGGGACGGGGAGGCCCTGAGGAGCAGCTCCTGCAGCACCTTCCTCCATTCCTTTCCTATGAAGAGGAGTCCTGCCCCCTCCAAGAGAGGGGTCCTGCCAAGGGAGCCCCACACAGACACCACTACCACCACCATCATCCTCTTCCTCAGCATCACCACCATCACCTCAGACAGCAGGGTGTAGTATCTCACCTTTTGGATCCTCTCCCCCCTTCCTCCTCCTCCTCCTCCTCCCTTGTTTTCTCTTTCTTTCCTTTCTCTTCTTCTAAGTCCTCCTCCCACACCCGTCCCCACCCCATGGATGCCCATCTGGCAAGTGTGTGTATATGTATGTATCTGTGGGTTGTGGGGGGAGAGTTTGTTTATTTGGGGGAGGGATGATGGTGGTGGTGGTTTTTTGGTGGGGGCCAAGTCCACCATGAGCCAACTTGGAGAACGGGAGCAACAACTTCAGCTCCATATCTCCCTCCCTCCATCCCTCCCTCCATCCCAATAAGGGGAGCATGGAGGTGTGGGGATTGATTTATCTTTTGGGGGTTTGTGGGTGGCT